CCCCCCCTTCCTTCTTCTACTTCTCATATGTAGAAAACTGGAATGGCTGCACGCTAGGTGCATCCACCACCAGCCCCAGATCCCTGTGCAGGAGCCAGGGGCAAGAGAACACGACATTTACATCGGCGGTATTCCGTTTAGTGTATGTGGAGACACAGAGAGAAAGAGAGAGAGGGGGAGAGATTGCCCATCGTGGCGTTTAGAAAATCTTTGCATCGGGCATCATCGCGGGCGATCATTTCACTATAGGTGACATTTTACCGCTTTTTCTATTGTCATACCCTCAGGTATTAGCAGACTCAATTAAGTGTCCGTTATATTGCCTTACGTTATTGCTGAAAGGGAAACCATCGCTGGGGCAGAGACTTTTCAACGCTAGGTATTGAATAAAGACGGTTTATGTTAGTAGATATCATTCTTTACTGATAACTATAAACGTTATGAATAGAAAGACAGGAGGAAAAACTCAACAGAGACAGTACGAAGGAATGCAAGACTGATTTAGACATCCTATAGCCAAAGAATACCTAGTCTACGTGAAATATGAGTGTATGTTGATAGGAATAAAAATTGATAAAATGAAGATGTATCACCCACCTATGTAACAGATTATACCATGTACACATACATTGATGATTATTTGCTTGTATATACCGGTACCAGCACACGTAGGATAGCAGTGCTAATGTGCACATACACATGTGGGTGATGTTTGTGTTCATATATAGCACCTATAGACACGCACCTACTCTGTATGTTTAAATTAATTGACTGTGTGTTCAGGCGAATATGGGATACCATTTGTTTTTCTAGGAACCTTTTTATTTTAAAATAATAGCAAGGCAATAATAATAATACAAAATTAAATAACATTCTCTCTTTCTCTCTATCTGCATCTCAGTAGATTCTCTTTCTGTAGAGGAGCTTTTCGGATACATATCTGGATAATACATACAAGTAATATACTTTGTAACATATCTCCTGTCGCAGTGTTCATGTATTGCAGCATGACTACAATGCCTATTCACTATACACTTCCAGTTTGTGTGTTCAGTGATAGGAATAAAGGCATTGCTCCATTGGTTGTACATATTCGTCTGTGTTTTTATGGCTCTGATTGCAAACAGCACATCACACTGATACATATTTTTTTGTACACGTCTGTTTCTTTATATACACTGTGCCACAGTTACACAAATCCACATACACGTTTGATGACGTTAATGAAAGAATGTAAAAGTAAGACTCCTTTATGTATTTTTAAATATGTGTTGTAGTGCTAAATCACAACTTAGTAGTACACATCTATGTCCCTAATTCAATAAACGATTTAAATGAAGAAAGAAGGCACACAGCGGATGGAGGGCGTCAATATATATGATGTAAGTGTAGATACAAAGATACACAGTCATATACACATAAAGTAAGTGTTGAGGTTGCTGGGAATACTGCAATCTCTCTACTAGGTATATAGCTCATATAACTGCTTCCAGTGCTGTTTGCGTTAACAAACATTGCAGGGATTTATTCAATAATTGCACTTGTATGACTATCCCATATGTTACCGGGGTCCAATTTCTTCACTAATAGCTGTAGGCAAGTTGAGAATTTAGCATGCAGTCATGAAGCCTTGTTTAGTGAGGAGTAACAGGGTGTAGGACACTGCCTGGACACCACTGTCAATGTACACAGAGCAGCAACACAGCAAAGGGCAGAACAGCTAAGCGTGAGGGTTGAGCAGGGATAGAGGCCAAGGTCAAGTTGAAAGTGCTTGTCTAGCCAAAATGAGCCCTGCCAATTAAGCTCTGGAGCCTCTTGCTAGCTGGGAGAAACAGTGTACATCAGGGTCATGTGTTAATACCCACGCATATGTCTTATTTGTCTGTTAACTGTGGTACTGGACCAGCGTGTCTTATTTAATATTAGAACAACACATGTTCACACACACTGTATTTATCAGCTTCCAGACAGAAGCAGGATTGGGATGGGCACTCCACCAGCCGTTACGGTTTTTTTTTTTCTAAGTATATTTTTTGACATATTTGTTATCTACATTTATGTTACATTTTGTTAACGTCAATATTTTTTAGGGTAAAGGCTAAAAAGAATTGGAATAAATAATGACATCACCATGTAAATAATGTATATGTGGTCTGTAGTTATCTTGTATGTTCCAATTAGTTGATATCACTATATGTGTACAACACTAATTTTCCCAGTTTTAACACTTCTTTTTCTTACTCTTGTGGTCTACCACACCATCATCAAAACAACATCCACATAATAATTTCGACTATAATACCGTTATATCTTCTTGTTCCTCATTAGCCTGGAAGATATGTAAGGAGTGCCCGGTAAGCTCCCCAGTACACATTATAATTATCTCATTTCAAGTTCTGTTTTATATGGCGTTTGATATAATTAATACTTGTCAACCATACAAGACATGTTTTAAAATGGATGTATGCAATTTAATATAAAAAGAAAATAATTTCTTGACTGAATGGAGGATGGTCACACCATGATCACCATGATTCAGGTCCATTCCATACCATTTATGATACATTGATGTCCATATAACATATATGTATATATATATATAGATATATAGATCTACAGATATATATATATAGATCTATAGATCTATATATAGAGATATAGATCTATATATAGATCTATATATGTATATAGATCTATATATATATATCTATGTATATATATATATATATACTTTTTTAAAATTTGTATTTATCAAATGTCTTTACTTTCTCGGTTTTACATATATATTACAACGGACAGAACAAGTTCCTGAATGCCAAAGCAACTGGCGACTACTATTTCGTGACTTGAGAAGAAAAGCACTCATCCTATCTGCACATTATTTCATACCGAGATTCTATCAGCTACATCAACGCATTTTAATGTTAGCATCCTCACTATAACAATAGCAGAAGAATGATCCGGATTATTCTACTATCCCAGACATGGAACACAAGTGTTTAATGATGTTTTATAATATGCTGGAGCCAATCTGAGCAAATCACAGCTACTTGTCGACCTCATTCATTTAAATCCATATTTACGTCATGCCATGTTATACAGGGACGTTTATGATATCCCTCTGTAAACAGATGTTTCCATAAGACTTCTGCTCCATATTATTGGTCAAGTTAAAGAATATAATTAATGAAGGAGAAAAAAAAATGCCTTGCTTTGTACAAATGGTGTCTACACACGAGGTAATTAAACAGTATGACACTTCCCCACAGCCCCAGTCTAAAGATTCCTTATATGTCTTTCCTAGTAGGCAGACTGCACAAAAGTATCTATAATGCTTGGACTTTGTTCTGGTACCAGTTCTTCATCTGTTTAGGAATGCACCCAAGAGGTAATTTTACAGATCCATCTCTGCTTTCGTTTATATGTATCTCTTTAGCTGCATGGCACTCAGATAATGATGATTTTCCTTTCAGAATTTCTGTCTATTGAGCATTTGCATGCACAAATATTTATTTGGGACAACGTAGATATATGTATTAACTTCATTAGTACAATTTCAATAATTTTTCTTTACACTATCTACTACTGTTTTCTATGTATCTGTGTATCTCTGTCTGCCTGAATCCCGAGTGCCCAGCCTGCACACGTCTCTGAAGTTCAAGTTTAACAGATACGTTTGTCTTAGCCCCTGGTGTAAGGAAGTGGCTTTCTTCAAAGGTTTCTTTTTTCCAGCTCAGTAATTTGGAACCCTTTGCTTTGTCTGGCTTGTGGCTGATCAGTTGTTGACCAGGCTGGCTAAAAATCTTTTCAATGGATTTAAAAATATATTATTTGTAGTTAATTAGTTACTTTTTAAGCAAGTTATAGATAAAACGGACAAACAACAAGCACATAAACATTCAAAGAAGAGAGAGGGAGAGGTAAAGAGCAAAAAATAAGAGGCAGGTTCCAATCTGCACATGACAAAATGACCTCACCAATCTAGAACAGAAAGTCTAACAAGCAATTACCTGATACCTGTCCAATAAAGTGTATTTAAAAAATAAACATAAACACAACTGAAAACTGTCTAAACTGTTATTTGTATTTACCTGCCACTATTCGCATAAGACTTCGCACAATTGTGTATCATTGTATATGCATCAAACTCTCTAAAGGGATTTAGGGGAGAGCGGAGCTCTTAAAAAATGTCAGGAACTAAACATTGCTCTCAGCAAAACTGAATTTACTATTCAATGTTGTAGCTACTTCATCTAGTAAGGGTTCTAACCCCATGCCAGGTGTAGACCAACATTTTCGTGTATTAAGCTAATTCTAACATATTCTGTGCACCCAATTTTATTTTTAGAAAGGGCACCTCAGTAAGTTCTCTGGGATGCACGCACCAGATGGGATTCTGATGCTTCAGCACTTGGTTCTAAAGATGGATATCAGAGGCTTGAGAGTGTCAGTGTCACATGATTTGCGATGTTTAACACGAAACCCAATCCAAAATTCAGTCAAGAGAAAGGCTGGACTCTACACATGAGCACTGTGTGGTTTTCATGACCATGCTCCTAACAGGATCTGCCATATACCTCCATGGGAGCATCAGTAGTTCGTATTACTAAATACCAAGCTCCATGAAGGAGGAATGAACTTGAGAAAGAAAAAAAAAAAGAGGTGGACGGAAAACATTACTACAGGGAGAGTGTGCCATATATCAAATCAATATGCCACATATACATAGATACATTGACCTACATACAGCCCAGTCATAGGCGTCTA